TTTGTGGGTTTCCAATTTTAACAGTGGTCCCGGGCCTGGAATACTTATTGTATCTAACTGAAAAAAAGATACTGTCGAATTCGAAATTGATATACCATAACGGTTCCTTGAAATGTGCTTGCTTGACCTGATCTGCGGGTCAAACGAAGAAGGAAGTTCGATTGTTGTTGTCGTACGTCAATAGGCTCTCAACACAAAGTGAAGTTCGAACCCGGACTTCGTTCGAAGAAAAAACCACAACGTGTGCTAAAGATTAGCAGGCAAATTCGTCATCCATGAAGCTATGACGGGCACCCTTATAGCCTGAAGCCACTAGGGTTTACGTCTTGTGATCAAAGTATCTTTTTCCTGATATCGTTTTGAATACAGTCAATATTTAACAGTGGACCATTTTAAACCCGGCTTTGTTATTAACGCTCAATAAGAACGGCTGAAAACCGATTGATACGGTGGCAGCTAATAATGCCAGGGCCCTATTTTAAAACATTAGATATTCTCATTTAGCGGTCAGCATTGGTTTAAACCAGGACATGTATTGTGCTAAATGCAGCGCACCTGACACAACAAGCTCCCTCTTGTTCAATAGTTTATAAAGGACCCGAGTATTTCTGTTAATTAACATGATTATTACTTAATACCACGTTTATTTACCTGTCACTGGTTGAACTCAGCAACAAGGACAACTTGATCTATCTGAGTTCAAGCTCTCAAATGAATAGAGGTGCAATGAGTGCTAAAACTGCAGAACCCCGTTCCACAACATATCTTTTGGTTTCACAAGTTTGGGATAGTAAACTTAATATCGTCTATACACGATTTAGAATCGAACTGTACAGGGAAATAGCACAGAGAGCTGCAGGCAACTTTTTAGTTAATTCTAGCAAGAAGTTTTTTTACCTTTATGATACAGTCAGATGTGTGTTAAGTGCCTGCAGGATACGACAAAGACGCTCTTTAATATCGTGTGTCTCAATATACAGCGAAAAATATTGACTGATTCTAAAGTGGAGTGACCTGCGGGTTGATTGCTTAATATACTTTGTCTCGTAGCCTCTTTAGTTAGATAACCGCCAAATCACGCAAAGACTTGCTGGCGTAGATAGTAGATCGCTATGACGAAAGAAGTCCAAGCTAACAACGATGCGTATAAAATAAGAATGTATTGAAAATTGAGTGCAAAAAGTGGTGTTTAGTAGAGTATTTTTACAGGCCTGGGTCAAAATACTTTTGTTTATACTTGCATGCCCCAACTTAAGTAACAAGCTTAAATTTACACATACACCAAGTTCAAACTTATGGCTCATGAAATTATATGACCGGAAAGGCCCAGGCTTCGTTTTTTACTCAAAAAAAAAAAAAAAAAAATTCTCACTTGCTCATTGTTTCGTTAGTCGGCCTATTAAATTAATTTTAGAAATTTAATTTAGAAATTAATTTTTCGCATTAAACATCTACCGTCCGAAGCTGGACGGTGAATGTTTGTCACGTCTACGTAATTGCAGATGTGTGATACAATAGAGGCAGGATCCCTTCTGAAGTCAAAGTTTGCAGTATGGCTAGTGAACTGAACGAACTAAGTGGGTTGTGAAACGTAAACTCAATTTAGAACCAGCAGGGAGCGGCTACGGTGATTCGTATCTACTAAATGAACAGAAGCCAACAACTACGAGTAAGAAATGAAGACATTTTTAGAAGACCAAAAACATCCCACAAAAACACTGTGAAGATTCCATGAGAAAATAGCTTTTTCGAAGGGTTGGCAGTAATTTTCTCTAAAATTTAATGCTATTCATTATACGTATCGATTTCACTAAAAGTTGCAATTCTGTTATTTTGTTTTTAGTATTCCGAAAGAACAATTCCGCGATTGGCGAACTTTTTACTCAGTGCGGCTACCATTTGCTTTTCTTTTATTCTCGCCTCAAATAAATGATAAGTTAATTTAAAAAAATCCGTTCGTAACTCTGCGTAAAGCTGTTAAATTAATTGTGTACGTATAACCAATAGTTGGCATATGGATGGTGGCACATGGAAACTCGTTCAGATCTAGCTCAAATGCAATCTACATTATAAAAACTGCAGTGAATTTAGATGGTAATAGTTTAAACTTCTGCAAAATCCAACAATCGGAAAAGCCGAAAAAGTGCGGAAGATGCAGGGAACAGGAGAAAACTAACTTTTAGTGCATACTGAAGCGAGCCGATAGTCAACAAATACTCTCTATTCCAAAATAGCGGATAATCTGTGCATCAAGGCTTTAGGATCCTCAAAAAAAATACTTTTGAGAGGATTCTGGATCAATTTTCAAGCTTTATTTGATCCACTCATATTAGCTAACAAAGTGCTCACTGTGTAGACCTCTGATCCCATAAATTAAAGGTCTTCATAGTCCCATTTACGGTGCTTCGATTCTGACATCTATCGATAGGACCTGCTTTATGGACGGGCGCCATGAACGCATGGTTGTTTCTAGCAGCGCTTTTCTGGGAGCTATCTTTTAGTCGCCTAGTTGCATGCTTATATGGTGAAACTTTAGAAATTAGGCTTAGACGATGCGCCCTTTGTATGGATATACTTTTTCGAAGTCGTTAACAGTATTTGTGAGTGATGCTCCAGAGATGATTAGGCTACTTTTGTTCCCATAGAAGAAAGTTACTGACATCAGGATTGTGCCCCGTAGATGCAACCTCAGGGTAACGTGGCCTTTCTCGTAAGTTCCATTGTAGATCTTGGTTTTGGGATGACAGAGATTATTTTTGTAAGTGTTTAATTGGCATTGCGAACCCATTAGGGAATCTGAAGACACTATTCGAATGAACCCCTGACTTAAACCAGATTTTCTTTTGAAAAAGCACCAACAGGGAAATGGCTACGTGTTGCGTAGGAACGACTGTAACTTCCTAGTGCCACTAATAAATATAAAAACGATAAATGGTTTTGAAGCCAATTTAGTCCTATAGATATTGTCTAGTCCTTTTTTCCTTAGTTCGAGGTTCATAAAGTGACAACAATCGGCTTTAAGAAGACGAATTGTCTGAGAAGTCATTGTTTTTAAAAGTATTCTGTAGTAGGCATGAATAAGCTCATCAGCCTCATTTCGGATTGAATGAACTAAATAACATTACAGTCCGTATACAGAAATCCCACATTTGATTTCACAGCTTAGTTCATTTATCGATCGTATACGAGATGCGGCAAATTCAAACCCCCTGAACTTAATCAGTTTCACGTATGCACCGCCTTATCGACTGCGCTCTCTGGCGGTTGTTTTCAATTTGTATAACTTTACTAGCTCATGTATGTACATTCCGACTTTTACTGTCTCGTTCTCTCTCTCTCTCTCTCTCTCTGTGCTTTAGTAGGTTAATGGAAACGCCGTTGTATGTGCCCTGTCAGCTCGGTTTGGCTATAATCTGCAGCCTACAGATATAGAGTCTGTACGTATACTATGGCTGTATTCTTTCTTTTATATATGCGCAAAACGGTGACAGTAGTTGTCAACGGTACAGCCGGCCGGCAGGCAGGCATCGCCAGAATCCGCATCTCTGTCTCTGTGTGTATATGGGCCTTCATCCCTCCCACACACGCAGTTTAGCAAGCTAGAAAACAAGCAGTGGCCCTCCTCCTCGGGGCCTCGTCCTCTCTACTTGAAGCAAAGGGAAAGCTCACACTTCCTGTTTTTCATGGGCTACCGGCACGCCACCACCGCTACCGTCACCACAACTAGCGAATGGTAAATGGTATTGTGTATTCGAGGGCGGCGGCGGCAGCAGTAGCAGCAACAACAACAACAACAACCAGGCTTACTGCTGCTGCTGCTGCTGCTGCTGCTGCTATTGTTGTTGTTAGTGCCAATAAGAACGACAACAACAGCAGCAGCACGATCGGGACGGAGAAAAGCGGGCCTGATCAGAAGGTGTGAGACAAGACGGTCAGTATAGCTAGCGAAACGGACGAAACAACGGCCGATGCCAATGTTCGATAGTAAGTCTGAAATGGTGTTAGAGCTTTTCCTTGCGGGTCTGCAATTGCTGCGAAAACATAAAGCGGTACCGCTACCACGATAGCAGCTGTCGCAGTCAAGTCGTTCGGCACAGTCACTTAAGCTCCTGTCGCTTGTTTCCTATTTAAGCTGCTATCGTTTCTTTTCGTTATTTCGCCTTTCTTTAACACACCATCACCAGTGAGCGTCTGTCCCGTGACGAAGGAGGTGAGGCCGTCACGCTTAGTTGGTGTAACTGTGATAGACAAGACAGAACTAAATATTTCGAGCTTTACGTTCGGCATCGCCGTTAGCCATTCATCCATCAGACGACTAGCTCCCAGCACGAAACAAAGTGTTCCATACCCGGACTTCAATTTAGGCCGCTACGTGTCCCCACGATTAGCTGCGAAATACATCAAATGAAGGGTTATTTGTGTATTGGACGTATCGAATCGAACGTCCTCCGGTGAGATAAGGTAAGCGACTACGGAGCAGCGGTAGCAGGCACGTGACAACGTCGCAGAGACCTAGAATAATAGGTATACCAGTCAGGCATCCGGAATAGGGCCTTGCCAGCTGCGAGAAGCCCCCAAAGTAAGGCCACGGAAAATGACAGACCGTGTTGCAGTTGGTTATTCTACAGCGCGCAACACCTCCAACCAATGGATACCACTATGTTTTAGTTTATTGACAAATAGAAAATTGTCGCGCAGCAATGGCTTTCTATCAGTCTCCTCGTCATTATGGTGTCGTCGTTAGCGCTACAAAAAACGTGGCTAAAAGCAGCGTTGTGATACCATCACTGTCGGCATCCATTAATGTTATCGTCAATCCTTTTCCTGCTTCTGGTGGTGCTGCGACTGTTACCTCTACAAACGTTCTTTGTTCGGCCGCTGGGTGTAGGCGCTAGCGACGTTTCGCTGTTTACATCACTCGACTCTGAGTGGGCGAACTGATGTAAGCCGGCGGGCGGGCGGGCGGGCGGGCGGGCCTGATAAGCCAAAAGAGTGAACTTTTCGGCGGTCAGTCAGTTTCGACTAGCTAGTTTGGTGGCACGTAGGATGTCAGGATAAAAATAAGCGCTAGTCGTTAACTCGATATAGCTGTGGTAGAACGGTCGTAAGCAGAAGCAATGGTGACAGACGCACTGATCCAGCCCTGGCCATGCTTGTGTGGCACATTCGTACATGCGCGTGATCGGGAACGAGCGCTGTTGCTCGTTATTGCAGTATGATTCACTGAGGTAGGCGAACAGTCCATCGAGTTCTGACCACAGCGACTGTAGCTTGTACGATGGGGACGGCAGCAGGCACGCGAAGCGACGACGGCAAAAAGGCCTAACGGGCAGGGCAGATAAGAATGACTAATTCGTTGTGAATGTAACACTTTTTTACTACTACTACTACTACCGGACGAAACGCAACCACCTGACTGTTATCGGCCTGACTTTTAGCCCCTACGGATCGGTGGCGGCAACTGGATAGAACCCTCACCGCCTCTAAGTGCCTCGGTTTTGACTCAACCTTCAAAGTTGTCCAGTTGACTTCGTTTGTTCGAGCCTATCTTTTGTTGTTAAGTGTCAATTCCAGGTTACATTTCGCTCTTCAAGTTTACCTGAGAATGAAAAGTTCGTAAGGAAAGCGCATACATAAGGAGGCACTAAGTTAGTAAAGATAAGTAACCTGAACTTGAAGATAAACTTAATGATCGGCGGCACGGCAGATAAGAAGCGTTAAAATTTTTCTACTGCCATATTTGAATTTCACAACAACTATATGCTGATATCGCCTAATCACTAACAAGTTTAGAACAGTGATGCAGTAACTTAGGTCTTCTCCATCCAGTCACTTGATCGGCGTCTAATAGCGACTGGCCACCATTCAAAGTGGATCATAACTTTTCCAGTTCAAGGGCTACACATCGTCCCACAAGCACTTCGAGTATAATAACAGACTTGTTCGGTTACGTCCCGGTTACAACGACCGTGTCGGATGCTAAGCTGTCGGGTGACAGTTCGATAAAACGGTTACAGAAACCTGAACAGCGCCGAAGCGTTCGCCACTGACTGTTTGCCCTCATGCTGCCAATGCGAGACCCGGGCTCGTACCGCTACCGCTGTGTCTCCGTGCTGATGTTACGCGAGATCGATAGTTTTTCTAGTAGAAGACAGCCAGTCTACTAGTGAGAATAGTAGTATTATTCTCAATCGTAACTGGTAGCGATGGTGGTTGCTTCTGCAGCAGCGACACGCGCGCCAGCAGCTGCCGGCGCTATAGTAGCAGCAATCCAGAGGGCGTGTGAGAAGGCAGTGATCGCTGTTGAGAGAGGACGAAGTAAAGGAGTACGGGAAAGAATACGTGTGAAAGAGTTGCCAAACGACTAATTAACTGAGCGAGTGGAAAGGCACACCGTGGCTGCAGCTGATACTGTTGTTATTGTTGTCGCTGTTGTTGTTGGAAGTGCTGTGGAAGAGGAATTGCACCGAGTGACGCTAACGACAGCAACGGCGACCGAGTTAGGCGCGGTACTGATACCAGCCCTTCTGCCGTATGACGCTCTGCCGCGGCCGAGTGGCCGCGCACGCCACGATGCCAGCCGGTGTTTGCCAACGGGATGACAGGGAACGGACTTTGTTTGGGGAAGGGTGAAATGGTGGTAGTGGTAATTTGTATGAAGTTATTGACGTTGTCGGGTATAGTCGCAAAGTTGCGCGCAACTACAGCAGTGGTTCTGCCGAGGACGTCGATAACAGCGGCAGATAACACTGTGACGACGCTCACGAGTTCGCGTCGGTCGCCCCTACGGGCACCAATGCTACTAGCAGCACAATCGATCCCGCCGCTGAATATCATCGTCTTCGTCGTTACCGCTGCCGCCGATGCTGAATTCACCGAGGGACAGTCGAGCGAAGTGCAGTAACAGTGAAATGGGTCTCCCGGCAACTTCATCGGCAGCCCTGTCAGCGTAGCTCTCAGATTGCGAGTTTCATCTGTTAGTTTACATCTTCATAGCGGGCAGCACAGTGGAACACAGTGAGGACATCGAACCAAAGTGAAGTGATGCGGACGAATCGATCTGCGCATGCATTCAGTCAGCACAAATCTGCAGACAGCACTCGATTGAAGTAATCACTACACAGTTATCGATGCCCGTTTCTTCCGAGACATCTCACATGAACGTAAACGAGGTAGTGCTAGTCGTTGTGAACGGCGACAGTAGCAAATAAGCGCGTCGCCACCCACGTGTAGACATTTACGAGACGGTAACAACCATCTGTCAATGTCAGCCGGTCAAAACAGGGAGTTGCGCGATTGTTGTGTCGTGTGTTTCGCTTTAATAACATATTTAGCCATTCTGCTCGATAAGATGCTGTCTAAAGACACCTATTCCTGGTCCTGCACTTTCCTGTATATGCACAGATAAATATAAGCATACTTTGTGGCGATTTGGGTCGTCATCTATAGAAGGGACTTAATCATTCGGGAGAATTAGGAGCAGTTTCTGATTCTACTGACTGTCAGTGTTGCCGCAAGAAGTGATAGCTACACAGTTCGAGAGAAGGTTTCCGTAAGCAAACAGAGCTCGAGATACAACATGGACCCTAATCATCTGAAAGTATGTGTATCAGTCTCCTGAGTGAGTTCTGTATCAACAAAATACAGTGAAAGCCATTATCAACTTTGAGTCTATATCTACATGTTTCAAATATAGTCAGTGTTGCCGCCGAAGTATACTGTAGAAGTCGCCACGAAATCCACGTCTACGCCTTGCGGGACAGCAGGATGTGGACTAAAACATTTGAGGACTATTTCTTAGTATTATGTGTACTGTTTATCAATTTCTGTCTCTTCGGTATAATTCGATCAGGCGCGCTGCTTTATGTCGCTTTGATAGAGACGTTCGAGTGCTCGCACGAACTCGCCGCATGGCCTCTGACGTTGGCAGGGTCTTCAATATGCCTAATAGGTAAGTTGAAAAAGTTTTCAACAGGACAAAAAGTGCAGGATAAATGTTTAGTATCAAGCTTAAACGAAATAGTCGACAAGCGTGTAGCGTGACTTGTGTTATATACATAGATCTAGCGCTGTTGTACATAAATATATGTTTGTGAATGTATCGTGTCTGTCATATGTATTTACGAGATGGTCAGATGGGTTATTTACACGATTCATTTTCTATGATATGGGACCAAACGATACCGGGGACCCTCTAAGAGCTACGGTTCATCATACCATCACTTTCTCGCTCCAAAATTGAATGATATATATACGTGATATTGAATACGGACCTGGCATTAATGATAAATCACTGATGAACACGTTTCAGTACTTGAAGCCTGCCTTTATTATTATTATCACTGCCGCATCCTTCATTCTCGCTAAAGTTTGTCTCGCTAAACACATTTATTATATTGATCGTTTTGCCTATCGTTCGGTGTTGATAATTGGCATTTATACGATGATACACAGATGCAACACGCAACGTAACGCGACCAGATACAGATAACAGGTATAAGCGAGCCATTTTGTCTGCCTGCCTGCCTGCCTGCCTATTTACAGTCTGTCGTCATATTATATCATATCCATACAGTGCGACATATCGGCACACAGAGAGACACAGGGTGACAATCACAAATATATCTAGATATATATGTAGTCATAATCGATGACGCTTGCAGAAACTCTATTTTTTGTCGCGTCGCTGCCATCCAAAAACTTGCTTATTTACGTTTTCTGGGTGTATTCGTATCCATTGCGAGATGAAGATCGACAAGTTCTCGGTCCGCTTATTCGGCTGTTGAAACGGCTCCCAATTCACCAACGTTGTCGCTGATCTAAAATCGATTCTTGTGGAATGTTTGTCGCTTTCTCGCTGGGAAAACGGAGGCAATCCTAGCGAATCCAAGTTAACGCGAGGGAAAAGGAATTGGGAGCAAGAAGTATACAAGATTTTCTAAAATTCAGCGTCGATTTTCGAGGGAGTGCCAGGGTTCAGCGAGCAAGGCGTTTCCTAGAGGAACCCCTGGGGCAACAATAGGTGGCGCTAAGAACCGGAACTCGGCAGATATCAGTCCGAAAAAGATATGATTTTGTGCGAAATGCTCCCTGAACTAAAGAGGTACGAGAGGAGATAGGCACGCAAAGGAGAGAATTCGTTCGTTGATTTAACATTACCTAAAGAAGTTCAACACAATTAATCAGATCGAACTGGTACAAGCCCAATAGTGAACACCGTTTAGTCTAGTAACATCTGCGACGAACTCATCACAAAGTAGAATCGTGCATTGAGCAATGATCAAAATAGTCACAATGGCCAATATATGTAGCGTGTAGTAAAATACTTGAAAATTAGATTGCCATTACTGTTAACTGTAAGACTATAATCAACATGGAGAAACGGCTGCCGATTGTTTCGTGCATGTTCTTACCTTCTCAACTAAGAACGTACTTCTCACATAATAAGACATTTCCCGAAACGATATTAGGGAGTTCGTTCCTTTTACAATCTATTTTCATGTATAGTTTAGAAGGAAAAGTGAGCGTCAGTGCACTATTATTTTCGTTGTAAAGAGTACCTCGTTTACTGAGCTCTATCGTCCCCGGACTGCCTTTAGAGCATTCCCCGTAGCAGTATCGAAGCCAGCAGCCGCCATTAGCTTTTCGTTGTACGGCAACAGCATCGTTTTATGATTGCGCTGCTAGAAACATGCTCTATTCCTCCATTACGCCCCCTGCTATTAGCGACACTGTCGTCTTGTCATTTGCCGTATAAAACGACCATTGTTGCTACGGCCGGTGGCGGCCATAATAATTACACTATCATAGATTATGGTGCTGCTATTACATGTTCAGTATTGTCAGGTTCGCTGCCAGTTGATTACGGTGGCGTTTGAGCCGTTGGACGATGATGCGCGCGGTGCAGATGGGACCCGTGGCGGCCGGCAGCATTGCGCCATCCGTCTAACGATGAACATCACCGCTGCTATTACTGAATCAATGTTGGTGGTCGTAGGGATGACGATGGTGATCTTGGTGTCGCCGTAGTTGTACTTGGAAGGCTTTCCCGTGTTCTGTCAACTTTTTCATGATTGTCTTCATTCATTAAGATCAGTTGCTGCGTCTGACGTTTCGGGGGCACAAACAGGGAGAGGCGATGACTCGTGACAGTTTTAAGTATCGTGACGACGACGACGACGATAATGATGAAAAAGTGCCTCTGATTTACGGAAACGCGCATCTTTGCTCCCGCACAGTAGCGCGGACCCATGACGCCACATAGATTGAATAAACTATCTTAATTTAGCCTTTTATTGGCCTCGTTTTTTATTATCTGTTTTTTTTTCTTCGTTCCCTTACTATGTTTATCGAACCAGAGGCAATACGACGCCCGAAACAAATCAGTATCGTAGGACGTTATCACCGGTAATACATTTTAATTCACGTGACACGCGCGCAAGCGCACGGCCAATCAAAATTCCATGGAGCAACCCAAAAGACGTACGCAGATCTCACGAATTTACTTTTTGTGTATACGCTACCAAGGAAACGACCGGTGACATCTGCAGGAGGTTCTGTGAGCACGTGTAGCTTGCGGTGATCGGCGATCTGGGTCGAATCTGCGCCTTTTGCTACTATTTTAAAATGGACGTTTACAACTTCAGCGCAGACAGTTAAAAACTTAATTAATTACGTTGCTTGTATGCCGCGTCGATTCCACACGATGCCATAACGAACCGTGTCGGTTACTGTATTGTTTTAATTGGAATATATATATATATATATATATATATATATGTACGCATACGTATACGAAGTGCTACGCTGAAGCCTATAATTGTTTTTTTATGCGTGATTTCTGAAATTCTATTTTAACTAAAAGAGATCTTTCAACGAATATTTTAGCCGACGCATGTGCTAACAAGGTCACTCTTAATGATCATATCTGTTCAGTGTAATCCCTGTTTACCTCGATTAAAACTTTAATCCAAAACCTAAGCCATGCACTAGTTATCCCCAAAGTAGTTGGTCTTTCCTTAACCCGAGAATAACTTGTTAATAGTAACCGCGGATAAAGCGATGTTTGTGAATATAGATTCGTCAAAATGTCGAACACGCGCGATACAAAAAATCTAGGGGAATCTATTTTGGACGGCTAGTAGGCCAAAAGTACCTTGCACACAAATGTTCAAAATGGCCTTAAAGTTTTAGAAATGCTAAAAGGTTCAAAAGGAGAGCTCACCTCGGCTACCAAATTGGTAGTTGATATGGTTCTTTAAAACAGTCGCAAGGTTCGTTGTACGTCATGGCTCCAAGTTTGATTACATTTTCATTAGAAAGAAGCCTCGTTTAACTGTGCTAGTTTTAGATAAATCAAAGGACAGATGGTAAGCAGTCCAAAAAAAAGCCCGGATTTAAAGCTAGCACCCTGTATATTTGTTCGTCAGAACCTAATAGACCATCCGTTGTTGAATTAACGATATCTTATCTTGCGCATAGATGATGCGCCTTAGGTCAACTTGGAAAGGATCGTAAACGTAAAATTTCTGCTCGAGCCACATGAGCTAACAGTAGCCACTAATTCAAAAATTTACTTCTGATTCCTCTGAATCTAATATGGTTATCTAATAAAATGGACTTAACAAACTCCAATTACTTAGAAATTTATAACAAACTAGATGAAAAGAAAAAAGCGTTTGATCAAATGTCTGTTTTTCGTGCACAGTAAATGGCATCCCCGGCCTGTCGTATCGCAGTGATTTCGATTCCTAGGAGAGACGCGTGTATAAGGACACATTTTTTTTTCTAACGAAAATAGAAAGCTACCTTTGTATATTAACTGTAAAGCCAAATCGAAAACGCTGCAGGTAGCAGATCCGAGATAACATTAATGAGAGGCTAGCTGAGGCCTTACATGCACATCTTAGTGATAGCGCATATATATTGAACGTTTATATTGGCGAAAATTGGCGCAGCTTCTTGTTATATGTTGAAACTATATTACATAACTAGATATGCATTAGTTTGATTTCTGCCGTTCTTTGGTGTAACTGTAATCCTTTCACTGTAGAACTTGTGTGGTCCGTAATAAAAAAGCGACAAGTGATTTTCGCCTCCTTCCGTTAAACTGAAATAACACCATCAAGCTTTGTAGAGATAGCCTGATGTTGCAAGGTCCGGCCGGCCTATACGGCAATTGCATTAGAATTTTCCATTTGAGCTTTCTTGCTTTTTGCTATATAGTTAATAGTGTACAGGTTATTTGTTCACTAATTTCCGTTAGTCTGTCAGTGGCTTGTCGTAATTATTTTAGCTGTTGTCAGTAGGGGTCCAATAAATTATTTTTCGTCCAGACCTACCAAAAGCATATCTCGCACTCTGTCTCGCATCAGTCCGAGCATTGCCGCAGATGGTCGAGTATATTTTTCGAAGTTTTGTTTTTATATTTGTGCGTCATTGTTCTATGTGACATGATTAGCCGTCTTAAGAACTTTCGCTGAATTTTTTTTAGTGTTTCGCAGATAAAAATACAATCAAGTAACTCTTTTTCTGTTTGCGTAAATTTGTGCGGCACCCGTAACGCCGAGCTGTTCTTGTAGTCAGTTTTCTTCTTTATATTGCAAAGATGGCGGGCTTTTAGTGCGCTTATTGTGATAAAATTTATAAAAATTAGCTTTTTTTTTTTTTGCAGAAATTTTACCGATTTCTTAAATCTGAACAAAGCCATTCCTACGACGTTAGCATATCTACTGCTATCGAATGTATGCTTTTAAATGACACTAACGCTGGCCCACGCTATTTGAGATGTGTGATTTTCACATCGGGATAAAACGCTAGAAAAGTAGTTAATGCCCCTTAATAAATAAGAGAAGTTAAACGATTTATAGATCTTTTTTTGTCTATAAAAAAAATGCTTACCGCTGTATCGAGATTCGACCACAGAAATGTCAAAGAAATCATATATAAACA